AAAAAAAAAAAAACTAATCAGTTAAGAAGCGAAAAGTACCACAAAATACGCTAGTCTAGATCACGAACAAAGTTCGGTGCCTTAAGCTTCTAAAAATGGAACAACGCAATGCTTCCACTGCTGGTGCAGTCTTCATCTCCTGCTTCAGCCAAGAAAAGCCCCATGTATTCGCATCTTGAAGAATCCAGGAAATTATAAAGGTTATGCAGAAAAAAAAAAGTGCGGCTCCAGAAGTATCACCGAGTTCGCTGCAACAAACAATTACCAAACCACAGATAGCATACAAAAAAAAAAAAAAAAAGAGCAAAAGTATTCAAAATTCTGAGCTCACAAAACAGCAGAGACACGACAGGTAAAAAAAAAAAAGAATAGACGAGGAAAAAACCAATCCAACCTTCGTCTAAGTAGGTATTAAATAAGCAAGCAATGGGGAATGAGAATAAACTACAAGCCAAAACTGCCAATTTTATTTACCAATGGGAATTCACAAAAGCCAATACAGTGAGAGAGCATGCAACATACACCAACACATCCGCAGTTGTAGCCTCAATTAAACAACGGTTACAGTAATTATTCTGATCTATACTTAATGACCATAAAAAAGAAAATTAACTGAGTGCTCTACAATTAATCGACCAGTTTAGGAGATAAAGTCCTTTGAAAAGTTTGGCAAAAAATGTACAATTCTAAGCAAAAATGAATAACGCGTCCAAAAAAGTACTTGCAACACCACCATTTCGAAATTAACTTCTAACTCGTTGACTATTAATGGTAGTCCACCGAACAATAGCTGCACTGAATGCAAAAAAAAAGAAAAGAAAAAAATTTAACAATAATAAATTCAACATGTCAAATATGATAATTCAAAAATTTAGTGCTGTTATTGAATTAAAACCATTGACACTCATCGTTCGATGCACTCCAACGGTAAGGCAACATCTTCCATAACAAAATATTGGAAAAAGCAAATTATATAAAGCGCTAATTATATAAATACATTATACATCAAGCTATAAAATGTACTCTATCTGTAGTGAATGTAAGGCAGCGAACGTAGTAGTTTGCATTTACTGAAAATCTCACAGTCAACTAAGATCACCTCATCTTTTACCACATGTACCTACCAGCACTTCTTTTCGCAAACCAAGCTTCCAATCCAATCTTCCTTTAACGATAAACGTACGATCATCACACTTTCTACTCCTTCCCTGACATTCCCGTTTTTTTTTTCAACCTTTGTGCTGGAAAATCTCCATTTTGCGCAGCTTAATTGTCGACAAAGCAAAAGTGGTAAAAAAAAACTACCTCTACTTTTCTTTTTTTTAGATCTATCAACAATGATACATTTTTTCCAACATCTTATAAGCTAAATTAAAATTTTCCTGTAAATGCATTATCCATACTTCATTCTACAGAAAATATTTAAAATTCGTTTAGTGTAGTTTTGAAATTGAAAGTATGTAGCAGCTAGTTCAAAAAAATAAATAAACGAACAAAACTTTAATATATATTCCCTTTACATCTCAATCGAT